GATGAATACAAATTGTTCTTTTTTTTACAGGCATTTCTCAACCCTTTTGTCATCCATGGCTTGTCAACAGCATCTTTCTTAGCAAAATTTGTTTTCATACAACATTTTTTATACAAAACTCCCAAAATATTCATAAACTCATCATATGCTCTGTTTACATCATCCACATATACACTATTCCAATTTTGTTTACACAGATCATCTTTCAATTTATCCAAAAAAAATTTTGATGTATTAAACACTTTCTTTGTTGGCGCAGGTACAGTAATACTGTTCTGATGATTTTTGTAAATAGCAAAAAGTGGTAAATGATCACTTATATCAATTGTGAAGAGTCCACTCAGCACCTCTCCATCTTTTATGTTAGTAAATAGATTGTCAATTATTGTGGCAGAGTGTGTTGTGATTCTTGTTGGTTTTGATATCAATGGGAAGAAACCCAAACTACACATTGTATCAACAAACATACTATTTGAATCAGTTTGAGTTCCCAAGTCTATATTAAAATCTCCACACAAGAATAATGTTTTATTTTTACTAATTTCAATGAGCTCTGTTAATTTATCAGTAAATAGTTCTAAGTTAGATCCTGGTGCTTGATACACACAGCTCACCACTATATTTCTTGATTTCTCATTTAACACTTCTATAGTAATCATCTCCATAACACCATCAACAGTTATTGACATAGTGTCCTTTATTTTACACCTTATTTCAGTGTTAGCAAACAAAGCAACACCCCACCTCTTTTACTACTTCTATTCACCCAATGTAATTCATATCCATTAATTTGAAAATTATTTTTATTTTCGTCATTGAACCAAGTCTCTGAAACTGCTATTATACTGAATTGTCCATTCAACCGTTTTAAATAATCTGTCCTTACTGAACCAGTATGGGGTCTTTAGATTCACCCCAGAAATCAAACTACCGTAAACAATAAATATGTATTTTAAAGTGCTTAAAGATATATAAGCATCATTTAGAAACAGGCAGCATCAGCTTCTTAGGTTGTTGATGTGATTTGTAATATTATTACACCTGTGGTTAATTAAGTATGTAGAAATGTTTGTATACTCAACCAATAGTTTGGCTCATAATTTGACTCTGGCAGCATGTTGTGGGTCAGAAGCTGAAATACGTCATGAGAAAATCCTTTTTTAGTGTCAACATTCAGATAAGGGTGAGTTATGGTCAGGCCTATGATCAACTACAATAATTTATTATGGGCATAAATCTAACCACAAATTCACTCATACATCCTCATTCACTCATACAGGCAAGTTTGCATGCATACTTCCAACACCCACACTCATATATCGCTATCTGAAAAACTGTACTGAAAGAAATTTTGTTTTGTTTGCACTCTGTGTATACAAAATGACAATAAAAGTTGTCTTTCAATGAGGGCATCAAAGAAGTACCTATCTGGCTGCCAGATAGATAAGTGGTTAAAATGAGGCATTTTATGAAAGAAAAACGGACCATTAACTACCAGTAGACATTCCACATACAAGCAGCTAGCTGACCTGTTCAATCATGTCACAGTTTGCTTATTCAACAGGCTAACTTCCTGGCATTTTTTTCTGGCTGTTTTTTTTTTTTTTTTTTGGCTAATGTTTGTAATGTAACTTCCCACTTTTTATTCCAAAGAAGAACAATAATTTTCAAACAATTTTGCATTAAATAACTGAATCTGAAATAAATAAATACACAGTTGAATCTTAAACAAACTTTTCAAACAAAGATGTTTACATTTGTTACATTTCACATTTTATACATTTAAAAAGGAATGATTTGCTTTTCCTTCCTGCTTCAGAGACTTGTATTGTTCTGTAACTGATGTTATGCTTTGGTGAATCTGAAAGGCCTACAGCTATAAAATCCTTACTCCAACACATATATATGTATGTGTGTGTGTGTGTGTGTGTGTGTGTGTGTTGGATAATAGAGGGATAATAAGCTGGCCAAAGGATGAGATACAGGCCACAGATATTAAGACACGAAATCTTCAAACCATGCACAGAGGGTACCACCCCAAATCCAGCACCCTGAGACTGTGTGCTAGCCGTAAGGAAGGAGGCCGAGGACTAGTGAGCGTGAGAGCTACTATCCAGAATGACTGGAGTGCCATAACCAAGTGGCTGGAATAGTGTACAGGAACATCTGTGCAGAGCATGGGCTGGAAACCCCAAGGTGAAAGTGGAAAACACCTCCAAAGATGGTAGAGAATGACCGAGCCAAGATCCTGTCGGACTTCCAGATATAGATGGACTGAATTGATAAACCAACCATTGTGGTGGTGGACAAAAAGCACAATGTGTATATATATATATATATAATTTTTCTTTTTTTTTTCTTTCACTACTACTTGTTATCTTTAGTTTCTACTAAAACTGAAGATAACAGGGACCTTCCATTGAAATGTCAGGCTTAATTAGTAGAGTTTACAACCTGTGTTGCATGGACCTGATTTTTGTTTGTGCAGATAGGCCACAAATAGAAGTCCATAAAAAGCACAAGCCACTCCTTTTTTTTTATTTTTTATTAGGAACCCAAGGCCAATTTCTGAAGTTTCAAGATTTATGAATTGAGAAATAGCCTATTTTTCTTGTGTACTTAAAAATTAGGTAAACAGAGAAGTTGGCTGGGGCGCTGCACTTTTTAAAGTGAAGATAAAACGCATTAGTTAAAAAAAGTTTTTAACTACGCCTTCACAAATGTGACAAACATTTTTGAAAGCTTAATTTTGTGTTTATACTAAGCATTTAATCTGGTTAAATATGCTTTGTTCTGTCAGTATCTGACACTTAGTGGAACCTATGGTTTAGATAAATGATGTGGCAATGTACTGGTTAAGTTTCTGACTCAACCACCACTCCCTGTTCTTTTATTGAGGTGTGCTCTTTATTGCATTATCAGGTGGGCATACGCACAAACAATACCATACAAAACTAAACCATACATGGTTTTTCAAAATCTTTCATTAAAAAAAAAAAGAAACGAAAAAACAATGTGCAAAATTTTTTTTGCTCTTTTGCTCCTATGATTTCAAGCCCCTTAATAGAATCCAGAGCAATTAATCCCCCCGTGTATGATCTTATTCTTGTTTCTTATCCTTAGACCACATGCCAGATCTTCTGATATTCAAAATAAGGGGCTCTAAATTGCATGTGCATTTTTTTATTTCTTTTATTTTTATGAGCAATAAGTGGATTAGCTGCAGACCGTTTTGGTTCTGCCCATTAAATTAAGCAGAATTTGTGTTCACCACGCAGTTGAGGTCGGTTGTAAAAGAAAAACGAGTTTCTAAGCTATGGATATAGAGGTAACAATAAAAAAAAAATATTAAAAAAATAAGAATTATAATATCAACTAATATTTATGAAACACAAGGAGATTTGAATTGTATTTATTTTTATTTTTTTGCTTTGGTTTAATTGAATAAAGCATTAATTTGTGCCCACCCGCATGGACGTTTTTTGTTATGTTTTTTTTGTTAATATTATTCTACTATTGCTATTACACAGAATCTCTCTCCATCCGCTGGCATTAAAAGAATGTCTCCTTTGTGGCAATGACAACAGCTTTTATTTTTGTGTCAGTTTTCTTTCAGGAGTACTAAAAAAAGAACAGAAAACTGCAGCAGTGGCTTAGTTTCAGATTTGTAAAATCCTTTTGCATGTGGTAAATATTTACATTTGCATATACTCTAGCCACAAATTTGTGCATTTTGGTTATTAGAATATGATCTGCATATTGATGAAGCCACACACTGTCTGCTAAATTGCAAGCACAAATCCATTTGCACTTTCTTTGAAGCCCTGCTTTGAGCATACAAACAAATTTACAAGAGTTTTAGGACACAAAACATTCTGAAGAACAGGCCTTATGTGTGGAGAAAATTAAAAACATTAATAACACAATAGGCAAACATCACTGTATCACATAACTCAATGTGTAAATATAAGTAATCATGTTTCATTGTAGACAGTGAAGCAAAACGGTGAAAATGTCCTGTGTGTGAATGCAGCTACTTTAGTCAGGAACAGGGTAGCTGGTCAAAGTTGAAAATAAATCAATCTACATGCAGAGCAGACTTGAAAGGAAACTTTTTATAGGCGACAAAAGAGTTGAGCTCAGCCAGAGCTCCAGTGAAATGTTTAGACCAGGTGTCTGCCACCTTAAGCTTCAGAGCTTCAGGGTTGTGCTAGAGGCCCTTTAAAGTGACTCTTGATAATGTAATAAAAAAAAATGGAGGTAGAAAAAAGTGAAGCTGTAAGACAGAACTAATGTGGAAATCCAGTGTGATTAAAAAAAAAACTACCTTAACCAATTTTATCTAAACTTTTAAGATTTTTAATTGGTCTGATGCCACAAACCAAATTTTTCTTTATTTTTTATCTTTATTGAAATCATAAAAATAATTTATTCTCTAGATTTAAAAGTTTAAAATTAATCTTGCTGAACCCAAACATAATCATAAAAAGATGGCTCTCTAATCATAAAAAGGGTATGTTTTATTTAATGATCAAGTACGTATTGCTGCTCTAGGTATATTTTATGTGGTGAAAGTGGTAAAAAAAAAAAAAAGGATTTTTGATTGAAAAGACTGATGACTCCAGACTTAGACAAAAGCATATCCATGCTCTAAAAGGGCAAAATAGATGCCAAATGTTTGTCTCTAGAAGTTTAAAGCACATAGAGAAAGAAAAATAAAAAGGGTCTGGGATTCAATACAGTATTGATTCATGGACTTGGTCAGTTTCATTGCATAAAATGCAAACAAACTCATAATACTGATTGATTTTTGCGTTTAAATAGCTCTATAAAAACATGGATATCTGTTTTAAGGTTCAGACAGGGATTTTCCAGTTTTTCTTACTCAAGTTCACGTGCATCATTAATTGCACAATGTTTGTCTGAAGACGCCACTTCCTTTCCAAGCACAGACCGATCTGTGAATCAATTTGTTAACACTGAGACAAAAAGTTACTCACCTCATGCGGGCAGCTCTCACACGGCTGGAAATGGCAGAGGCCTCTGGACAGCTGTTCTGGGCCTGAGGAACAACATGCCTCCACTCCCATATCAATGGCATCGTTGATTTTACTCAAAGGGAACGCGCAGAGGGCTGAGCTCCTCTGAGGTTCCCCTTGCTCATTGACTACTGCAAACACCCCATACAAGATGTTCTCCGTTGTGCTGACCCTCAATTCTTCAGCCAAGTCCTTTCCAGCATGCCCTAAATGGGCCGCCTGTAGTCCATTGTACACAACATCCCTGTAGTTGCTTCTCTTTCTGCGCTTTGGTTCATAGCGGCACTCCAGCACCAGTTCTCTGTACATCCAGACCTCTGGAGCTGAAATGGGTAGCCGTCCCAGATGAGTCTGAAAGGCAGAGTTGTTCCTGGAGGGATTTTCCCTCTGCAGGGATAGAAAGTAGACAAACTCTTTGGTGGAGAAGCTGTAAATGTAGTCAATGCTGTAGGAGTTGCGTAGATTGGGCAGCACCGTCAACCCATCTGTGATCTTGAGGAATCCATCTTCGGTCGCAAGTGGCCTCAGGACCGATATTGAGCTCCGTGGATATTCCTGCACCAATTTGTCATTGATTGTAGATGCTACAAAGAATAATGCAATGTTTCTATCCTCAACGATTGTGACTTTGGTGCCAAGAGGGCTGGCCACACAGTCAGGACAATTGGTAGGAAAGTTCTGCTCTCTTTTGTATAAGCATTTGGGTTCAAGTTTTGGAGAATCAACTTCAATAAAGTAACATACACCATGCTGAGTGCTTCCACAAATATAAAGGTAGGGAAGAAAATAAGCAAAGGGATCCAAAACAAGAACCTTGTTGTCTGTGTCCACTAGATCCTCTGGATTAGTTTCTGTGTCACATACCAAACAGGTATCACAGTCAGAACTGCCTATTGGGCCCGTTTTCAACTCCCATTTTTTTCTCATAGAATCATCAACTCCAATAACTGCATTCTGATATCCGAGATACACTTCTGTTAAATCCGAATCCCTTTTTAGCTCAATGTTTTGAATAGGTTTTTCAGTTTCAAAGTAAGGGAGAGAGTATTCTACATTGAAATCCACCTGTTTACGCTCAGTTACGGGACAGATTTTCTGTCCTGAGGTAGTCTGTGCTTGTATCCATATGCAGATTGCCAATAAGGCAGTCACAGTGACCATTTCCACGCCACAGTCCACTTTGATTGAGTGCTACCTGCGAGACATTTTCCAAAAAGAGAACATTCTTGAGAGGCAACTAGGACCCTGTGGGGAAAAAAACAGAGCAGGAATGTTAAGGTTTACCAGACAAGAGGAGTATAACATATTATTTTTTACGTTTGAGTGACTCAAAGAGGGAGGCGGACTGAGTAAATATTTAGCTATTTCAACTTAGAAAAAAGGGGGAGGATCTACAGGCTTTTAATAAGCAAATACTTTATCATTACAAGAGATACATTTGGATAAAATGATGGAGGAAAGTGGGGAGGGTGAGCGGCAAACAAAAAAGTTCTATGGGAAACTTAAATCAAAAGAGGACTTGTTGTAACATGTGGAGCAGCTATGGAAATATTCAGGCATAGCTACAGTTACACAAAACAAATAAGCCAATAACAGTATATCATACTGAAGTTTAATACTGATCTAATATTAGATACAGGCTTAAGTTTGAGTGTTATACGTCTAATCTAAGGAAGAAAACAAAAAACGGTCTTACAACAGAAAAAGTTGTTTTATGTGCCTTGTTTAAGGCATTGTTAAAATCTCCTTAAGAAAAGAAAGTAAATCAAACCTCACCTCAGTCTGAAAAATGAAGCAGTAGCACTGGAAATGTCCAACAAACTCCAAAATGTGTCCCAGGGAGGTGAAAATTATATATGAGAAAAAAAATTCTGTTGTATCGAAGTTCAAATCTGACTGTATTCACCTGCCAGTATCACTGCTTCAGTCTATTCGCAAAAGGGGGGATGATCTCTACAATGTTCAGCAGTCTGAGGAAAAACAGCGCAGGATCTTACCTCAGCTTTCAAAATAAAAGCTTCTCAGGACTTTGGTTAAAGGTAACTGCAAATGGAGATCAATTAATCAATTAAAACAAGTTATCAATTATTCAGTTAAAAAACAAAGTTACCAAAGCATATTATATAAACTGTATTGCATGTATATTCCAAATAATATAACAGAGCAACACAGAGGACAACAAACATACACACATAACTCATATACACTTCTGAAATTACCTTTATCTTTAGGGGAAAAACAAAATGATACAAATAAATAATAATAGATATAAATAAAATAACAATAGATATAATCACATAAAGAATGTGTTTTATTTTCTCTTAAAATCCAAAATAAAATATTAGTTTATCTATTTCTTTAAGTAATATATCTTTGTCAAAAACAACCTCAGTAAATTTTATTTTAGAGTCTTAGAACTGTTTATGGCCAAAAATACTTTATATTTTTTTTTAGACCAAGAAGTGACAGATTAGTGAGACCTGTTGTTTATTTTGTTAAGGCTACAGACAACACCTTCTTTAATCTGGCTGACTTGACAATAAACTCCATATGGACACTGTTCCTTCAAGCCGCGCCCGCAACAAGGAAGTACAAAACTCTTGCGAAATTTACCTCCAGAGAAAAGTATCCCGTTGGTTGCCCTCCTAAAAATCATGGAATATTATTAACTACGTTTGTTGCTCCACACACGCGAAAGGGGGGGGAAGCTACCAGAGCAAAGAAAGTAGTATTTCTGCCAGAAATACATTTCTTTCTCATGAGGGATGGGATTTTTGTAGACAGCTCCAGCCAGGGAGTTATGAGAAGAATGTTTTCTCTCCCCAAATATACACCCACCCGCATTTAACTTACGGATAGAGGGGAGAGAGAAGTGAAACATGGACTGTTTTTCAGCAGAAATCATTAAATGTTCTCTTTTAAACTTAGTTTTATACGACGGATGTTCAATAAGTAATGCCCCTGATCCACTTAAAGTTTGCACAGTTGCTGAAATGTTGCATGTGCAATTATATACATCACTATAGACATGGGTGGTTCAAGACAGGGGCCAACGGGGGCCAGTGTCCCTGCAGTTAATGTCCTGGCTCCTATACCGAAGGCTTAATAGTAAAAGAAATTCTAATGATGATATTTGCTGGAACAAACATGGTTACTGTTTGGATCTATTTCATTCATTTATTATTTATTTTTTTAAATTGTTTTTTACAAAGTGTTTCAGACAGCCCATGTCTCCCGGAAGTTCCGAGAGTCTCTACCTGATATCGATAGTTGTTCACGGATGCCCGCAAGTCGGATAAATTATCCCGGATTTTAGACTATGCAAGGTGGTGTTTTCTTAATACGAGTAAGAGTGAGCAGGCAATACAATAATTCGTGCACCATGTGTGGATCCTGGTTTTCACCTGCTAAATGTGTTTTTCAAAACAAATTAAGAAAAATACTCTATGCTCATGAAGATTCTCAGTCATCCAGGTCATATTCATTCGGTAAAAGTTGAAAAACAATCCACTGCAGTTGGTTTCCAAGGTTTGAAGACGTTTTGCTGGGAAACAAAACGTCTTCAAACTTTGGAAACCAAGTCCAGTGGATTGTTTTTAAAGTTTTATGGAAAAATTACTCTAATTTTTACAGCTGATTTTATTAGTATTCTTGGGTTCTGATTCTGATTTTATAGAAAAAGGTTATTTTAACTTAAATTTGGTCAAAAATATGTAACATTCATAAATTCTGATTTTATATTGACCTAATAAGACTCAACCATTTGAATAAAAATTTCACTTCAATGAAGCTATCTTAATATATTTGAATCCCTTGCCCTGTTTTTTTATTTCATGCTTTTCTGTTCTCCCATGAAAACACACTGGCCCCCTCCTAGCCCCCTGGTACATTTTGGTCTAGAACCACCACTGGCTATAGAAAAAGCAGCAAATTATAGGTCTGACCTAATAGTGATTTGTGATTTACAGCCTGATAATTATAGTGAAGTGATCCGTTTTTTTCTATTGTAAAGGACTTTGCATAACTTATGGTGATGCTGCCCAGTCGTAGGGCCTTGTAAAATGTTTTACAATGTAAAAAGTTGTAAAACATTTTACAAGGCCATATTAACCAGAAGTTACTTTAATTTCATCAAAAGTCTCTATAGTGTGCTTCCTTTGAAATACAAAAAAACGGATCACTGCTCAACAGAGGCGTAGCCAGAAATTTTTTATAAGGGTGGCCAGGCAATACCCAATGTGTACAGAGGGTCGGCCAAAAGTGGATAGGCACCAAAACCTCACGGTCAATCTACACTGTTCCAACAGGAAAATTAACAAGCGAAACATCCATATTTTCTAAGTTAAGACTAACTATACTTTCCCACAGCCTTTGCTAACAAATAGATGCATATATTTTAACATTCGTAATTTCTAGATAAAAGGTGTATTGGATAAGTCTCAGTTTTGAGTTCTGGGCCATAGATCAATCATCATTGCCATTACTTACTTACTTGTATCAATAAACATCCTGCATAAAATTGATATTTACAACTACCAATATCCACATTAAGTTTTTATTAAAGTTGTTATTTATTTATCCTTTCACTTTTGACTCCTAGATGACTTGCCGAGACACATATTTACCCCATAAATCTCAAAATCTAGTTCTGAAAAGAGCATGAATTCTGTACTTATCATCTATGATATTAGTATATTGATGTCTATAATTAACCCCAAAAATTAAAATGTTTTGAATATTCAACTTAAGAGTATTACTGCTGCCACCATCTGTATTAGAGGGGAAAATGGTATTGGTGGCCACAGTGGGGGCCAATGATTGGCTAAGGGTGGCCATGGCCACCCCTGGCCACCCATCTGCTCCGCCCCTGCTGCTCGACACTCAAAAGGCTCCGTTTCAGACTTGACTCAGTTCAAACGCCTGTAAATCTCAAACAACAAATAGTTCAGAGCTGTAATTTGACACTTGATCTATAGAGATATGAATAATTGCACATGCAAAATTTAGATCAGATCGACCAACTGGAAGTCGGTCAGGGACATTACTTATTGAACGCCCCTCTTGAAGCATCCATGAGCTTTTTAATGATTGCTTATTTTTTCTTCCCTAATTCTGCAACTACGTATAGGATAGGTAATTCAAGAGGAAATACCGATTGCAAAAGTTGACAAGGTCTTATCTGATTTGACAACCAAAAGTTAATGATCTGCTATTGAATCCAAAGTTCAGAAAACCTGAGTTTTAACCCCTCTGGGGAAAAAATAAAATAAAAAAAAAAAAACAAGCAAACATCTGAACCAGTTTTCACAAAAAAAAAAAAAACCTTCAAAACATTCCACCATGAAGTGCATAGACTGATACCGCCTGAATGAGAATAAGGAGAAAACAGCATTATGTATACTCTGTGCTGCATCAAGGAGAAATATGTGCAGTATTGCATCACAAACTGTTATCTACAATTTGTGAGAAGAACCATCTCCAGAGAGGTCAAATTAAAAATAAACCTCCCAGAAAAGCTGTTAGTATGGTTCCAAACAAAACTGCTTTTCCCTGTCTTTTAGAAAATAAACAAATAAATAAATAGCATTTGGAGCTCAATTATTTTAAGGTATTTCTATAAGGAAATGTTGAAAGTTTAACATTCTGAAAAAGTTTTTACTCAAAAGAATCCATATTTTTTTTAGAGATTTAGCTACTTTAATATGAGATATTATTTTAATACTTTTTACAATATATATATATTTTGCAAATAAATTTGTTAATGGGGATTATTTAACATAAAATTTATTTCTGCAAAAATTCTGGTAGTTAATGGCATGGCTTGTGATAAGCAAATTGATCTACAGGTGCTGGTCATAAAATTAGAATATCATGAAAAAGTAGATTGATTTCAGTAATTCCATTTAAAAAGTGAAACTTGTATATTATATTCATACATTACATACCAACTCATATATTTCAGATGTTTATTTTGTTTAATTTTGATGATTACAAATGACAACAAATGAAAATCTCAAATTCATCATATCAGAAAATTAGAATATTACTGAAGACCAATAAAAACAAAGGATTTATAGAAATGTTGGCCAACTGAAAAGTATGAACATGAAAAGTATGAGCATGTACAGCACTCAGTATTTAGTTGGGCCTCCTTTGGCCTGTATTACTGCAGCAATGCGGCGTGGCATGGAGTCGATAAGTCTGTGGCACTGCTCAGGTGTTATGATAGCCCAGGTTGCTCTAATAGTGGCTTTTAGCTCTTCTGAATTGTTGGGTCTGGTGTATTGCATCTTCTTCTTCACAATACCCCATAGATTTTCTATGGGGTTAAGGTCAGGAGAGTTTGCTGGCCAATTAAGAACAGGGATACCATGGTCCTTCAACCAGGTACTGGTAGCTTTGGCACTGTGTGCAGGTGCCAAGTCCTGTTGGAAAATGAAATCTGCATCTCCAAAAAGTTGGTCAGCTGCAGGAAGCATGAAGTGCTCTAAAACTTCCTGGTATGTGGCTGCGTTGACCCTGGACCTCAGAAAACACAATGGACCAACACCAGCAGATGACATGGCACCCCAAACCATCACTGACTGTGGAAACTTTACACTGGACTTCAAGCAACGTGGATGAAGTGCCTCTCTTCTTTTCCTCCAGACTCTGGGACCTTGATTTCCAAAGGAAATGCAAAATTTACTTTCATCAGAGAACATGACTTTGGACCACTCACCAGCAGTCCAGTCCTGTTTCTCTTTAGCCCAGGCAAGACGCTTCTGACGCTGTCTGTGGTTCAAGAGTGGCTTGACACAAGGAATGCGACAGCAGAAACCCATGTCTTTCATACGTCTGTGTGTGGTGGTTCTTGAAGCACTCACTCCAGCTGCAGTCCACTCTTTGTGAATCTCCCCCACATTTTTGAATGGGTTTTGTTTCACAATCCTCTCCAGGG